CTGAAAGATTCATTTCATTAAGAAACTTGGATTATTTGGTGGTGGTAGCAATAAGGATAATGTTGAGTGATATAACCTGTTTAGCTCTTCCTACTTCTCTTTAAATGTATGATCTGGGCTGCTGTGACTTTTTCTTCCTCATTGGAGAAATGTAAATAATAAGAGCAAAAAGTTTTTTGACACATAACATGAGGGAAGCACTGTCGAGGAATGTTACCTGTATTGTCTTCCACTTAAGCCTCACACCACAGCTGGACAGACCTGGAGCCAGATGACCTGGCTTGACAGGATATGCCCATTACTATTATACATCACCTTGCCAATGAAATTTATCTCACCTATAACAAGCTTTTAATATTCTGGTAAACATTCTTGTTTGTCCCAGCTCTCTCAAATAACTCAAAGATAGTAACCTGATTTTATGACTGTACAACTTGTATATTTAATAAAAAATATTGAATGGAAAAAAACTAAATCATCTCATGATGAGACCCTGGAGGGCAAAAAATGAATATAAAATATGTTTACTTGTGAATTGTGTCTGGATCTTATTTTCCAATTATGAGTGAGATTCACACAAAGATACACCTCTCAAACATTTTAAATGTCTCATCTGATGAGCTTGGTAAAAATTACCATTGAGGTTAATTCATTTTTTATATATTTTTACAATGGAGTGAGGGCTGATCTTTGTCTTTTAACAGGTTTATGAAATTAATACTTTTAGAGTTTGTTTGTTGAGGGGATATTGTCTTATATCTAAACAGAGTATTTCAGGCTGAAGACTATTCTAAATCGGTGTTTCATACTCTCTTCTTTCACATGTGATACCCTGGGGACTGTTCAAGAACACCTTAACTATCTATGTTTTTAAATAAAAGCAAGGATTGGCACCTCAATAGTTCCACTGTTAGACCGACTGAGCTGTGATTGATTTTTCAGTCCATCACAGCCAGCTCCCTCCAGGCACAGTTGCAATGCACAGCATCCTTTGGGGTTCTTGTAAATATTGATAAACTTCTTTTTTGTACTTCCCTAGGGAACCATGTATTTGATGACTCATGAATACTAGCCATTGAACCACTTAACTTTGTACCTTGGCACTGAGAAAAAAAATTTCATTATTACCATTTTATGTAATTTAGGTTCTCTTCTTCATCTATTACCTGAGATAGTATTTAAGTTCTATACAGAAAGTGGATGTATGAAAACCATACCGTTTTTTGACTGTGTGGTTTACTACATAAAATGAGTTTTAAAATTTGGAGCTTAAAAGAAACCTGGGGCTCTAAAATATTTGTTTTCTTTCCTCATTCTACTCATGCAGAAGATATTAACAATGATATTTTCACATTTCTATGCCAACCACCAGTATAAAAGCCCATGGAGGTCAGAAGAGAGCGTTGGATCCCCTGGACTTGGAGTTGGGGACCATTGTTAGCAGCCATGTGGATGCTGGGTAGTGAACCCAGGTCCTCTGCAAGAGCATCCAGGGTTCTTAACCCCTTAGCAATCTCTCCAACCCCCCTTAAAAGATTTACATACATGGTGGCATAGTCCATGCAATGGAACAGCAACCTCAGACCAGACAAACACAATTGGTTATCTCATATTGATAGCCTTGGCTGAATGTGAGTCATCCATAAAAGGAAGATGTTGATGATAATGACAATAGGACACTTCTATCCTTTTAACTAAAATAAGAAGCCAAAGGAGATTAAAGATATTTCTGCTACTCCAGGCAGTAGAGTTTTTCAGAAGTTCTTATAAACTAGTTTATCAAGTAATGCATTGTAATGGATGATTTTGAACAAGATTAGTTTAAATAAAACCCAGTAAAATAGAGAGAAGAGACCTGTACTCTGTGTGAGGCAGTGGAGCTGTCATTTGCATATGTATGCATAGTCGTCTGAGCATGAAAATCCATAAGCCATCAGCACTACAAATTTTGGGGGACTTACTGTGCACACAACACAAGGGGCTTTGCATGTGTTCTTTCAAATTCTCACAACTACATCTGAAAACAGAAATGATACTAATCCTTGAGATGAGGCAGAGGATATTCAGAGAGGTGAGGTGACTTTCCTCACCTCTTATAGGGCATGTGAGGACCACTGAATGTTTATCTTAAAAAATAAAGTCACAGAGATTCTTTCTGTCTACCTACAACAGAGGCCATCTCTGCTGAAGTTTTTCTTTTCATTATTCCTCAGTCTCCCCTGATCCTTTATTTCCTTGTATGTAAATTGGATAATCCAGACAGAGTGTAGACAACCAAACCTAGCAGCTAGCAACAGAAAGTGTCCTAGAGTAACTCTCCTCAGAACACAGTGTCTTTTCCATTAGTTTTAAGTGCTAATGACATTCAAATCATTCCAAACTGGAAGCAACATGCAATGGTATTCTTGCTGTTTCCAGCCCTCCTAACTTGCTATGCCCATCTTTCCTATTTGCAAATACATGGAAATGCATCTATCATCTATCAATTATCTATCTATCTATCTATCTATCTATCTATCTATCTATCTATCTATCA